ATTCCATTCTCATTCACACGTATCCGTAAACGTAGAACTTGCACACCGTCAGCCCCGTCGCAGACGGCCGGTTGAGGTAGATGTAGCGCCCCAACGCGTTGATCTCCACCTCCAACATCACGTTCGACAACACGCTCACGTCTGACTTCACCAGCGCGTTGCCCGTGTACGTCTCTGCCGTCGTGCCGAGATAGATGTCAATGCCGGTCAGACGATGTGGGCAGCAGTCGTTGCGGTTCTGCAGCCGCACGTAGCGCACATACACCTCGCTCCCGAGGTCGACGCCCCACCACTGGCTTGTGTATTGGCCGCACTCGGCCCACGGCCGTCCCGTCGTGCTGTCGGCGTATGACAGGTCGCTCACGGGCGCCTGCTTGTCGAACAAGCTCGAGTCCTGGTACGTGGTGGCGGCGCGGAGGTCGAGCAGCTGCACGTCAGGCGGCGGCGGCGACGGCGAGGCGGACGGCGGCGGCGGCGACGGCGAGGCGGACGGCGGCGGCGCAGGCAGGGCGGAGGGAGGCGGCGGCAGAGGCGGCGGCGGCGACGGCGAGGCGGACGGCGGCGGGGAGGGAGAGGCGGAGGGAGGCGGTGGCGACGGCGACGCGGAAGGAGGTGGCGGGGAGGGAGAGGCGGAGGGAGGCGGCGGCGAGGGCGACGCGGACGGAGGCGGCGGCGACGGCGAGGCGGAAGGAGGCGGCGGCGAGGGCGAGGCGGACGGAGGCGGTGGCGATGGTGAGGCGGACGGCGGCGGGGGCGAGGGCGATGCCGAGGGAGGCGGCGGCGACGGCGACACGGATGCCGGCGGGGGTGACGGCGATGCTGGGGGCGGCGGGGGCGACGGCGATGCTGAGGGCGGCGGCGGCGACGGTGAGGCGGACGGAGGCGGCGGCGACGGCGAGGCGGATGGCGGCGGCGGCGACGGCGAGGCCGACGGAGGCGGCGGGGACGGCGACGCGGAGGGAGGCGGTGGCGACGGCGACGCGGAAGGAGGTGGACCATTGCGATTTCCTGCGAAGACGTAGAACTTGCACACCGTCAGCCCCGCCGCAGACGGCCGGTTGAGGTAGATGTAGCGCCCCAACGCGTTGATCTCCACCTCCAACATCACGTTCGACAACACGCTCACGTCTGACTTCACCAGCGCGTTGCCCGTGTACGTCTCCGCCGTCGAGCCGAGATAGATGTCGACGTCCGTCAGCCGCTCCGCGCAGCAGTCGTTGCGGTTCTGCAGCCGCACGTAGCGCACATACACCTCGCTCCCGAGGTCGACGCCCCACCACTGGCTTGTGTATTGGCCGCACTCGGCCCACGGCCGTCCCGTCGTGCTGTCGGCGTATGACAGGTCGCTCACGGGCGCCTGCTTGTCGAACAAGCTCGAGTCCTGGTACGTGGTGGCGGCGCGGAGGTCGAGCAGCTGCACGCCAGGCGGCGAGGGAGGTGGCGGCGACGGTGGCAGGGACGGCGGCGGCATGAACAGCCTCATCTCGGCTCCCTGGTAGTTGGCGAGGCCATGGCCATAGTAGTCGTCGATGCCCGGCAGGCCCAAATCCTCGGCGCCTTGCTCAAGCGCCGTGCGGATGTCGGCGTTGTCAAAGGACGGGTACCTGCGTGGCCGCGAGGCGTGCCTGACGCAGCGGTTCGGGGGTGTGGTGGTGGTGAGAGGGGGGGGGGGGGGGGGGCTCCCTTGTTCCAAAACACCATTGCCAGGCCAAAAACGTGCGGCGCGGCCATGGAGGTCCCCCTCTTCCAACCGTAACCCGGGGGGCCCACCCCAGTGTAGCTCGGGGGGCCTAGGTAGGAAACAATGATCCCGTGAAAACGGTGGGAAAACGGCGGCCCTTCCGCCTTCTCGCACAGGGGGGGCACCCACAGTCAAAACGACGTCAACCCCTGGGGCAGCGATGTCAATCCCCCCGTTGTACTGCGAAAACCCCCCCTTCCCGTTGTTGCTGTCGGGGGCGGCAACCCTCATGACCCAGGAGTAGGACCCCCGGTAAAAATAGCTGCTACTTCCCCCGTTGCCGGCGGCCGCGATGCTGAGGATGCCGTCATTAAAGAATTTCTGGAAGGCATCACGCTCAAAGTCCGACGAAAACCCACCTCCGAGCGACACTGCGGAAGGCCGGGGGGGGGGGGGTTAGATGAGTCAAAGACGGGTAGCGGATCTAGGCACGCTCACTCGAGAGGATCTTGGCTCCGCTGCCGACACATCGCTGAGCCGCGTCGACGACTTCTGAGGCATAGGTCCAGCCACACGCCTCATTCACCAGCCACGTGCTGGGGTCGTCGAGCAAGCCGACCTCCCCAAACACCTTGACTATCTTCAGGTCAGGCGCGCCCGGATAGACACCGACCACTCCCTCCCCGTTGCCACCGACCGCGGCGATGGTGCCCGCGACATGCGTGCCTGGTGGGACGGAGGGAGGGAGGGTGGGGTAGAGGGGGCGGACGGAGAGATGGCGGGGAGGGGATATGGCGGCGGAGAGGGCGGCGGAGAGGGCATGCGTGCCGTGGTTGCAGATGTCGCCGCCGAAGTAACGCGTGCCGGCTGGGTCAGCTTGGGACGGGTCCGCCGCGGTGGCGTCAGAGGGGAGGTCAGGGTGTGCGAGCAGGTAGCCGGAGTCGATGATGCACAGCGGATGCGTCACCGCCGACGGGAAGAAGGAGGCGTCCGGCACCGCTTCGTTGTACACACGCTCGATCCCCCATGGCGTTCCCTCGGCTAGCTGCCGCTTCCGCGAAGCCGAGGCCGAGCTTGTTGCTAGGAAGCGCTGCTGATCCTCCTCGACCCTTAGCCCCGAGCGCTCCGCCTGGTCCTGGAAGGCTCGCGCCGTGCTGTTGTCCTCGAATTCGACCACTGTGAGGGTTTTGAGGGCTGCTTCGATTGTCTTCTTGACCTCTCCGCCCACAACATCCGCCATCTGCGCCACCTTGCTTGGAGCTCGCGCGCCACCCTTGGTCGTCGCCACGTTGGTCTGCTTTTCCTCGGTGACAACGTACCGAATCTTGGGGGGGGTTGCGGGCGGGCTAGGCGGCTCTGTCGCGCGCGGGCGGCCTTTCGTGGCAGGCGCCGCCGCGGCGGACGCCAGCAGGGCAAGAAAGAGGGAAGTCATGTGGTGCAGGCCCAGAACGGCGTGCAGGCCCCAGAGATTGTCGGAGATACTCCATCGACACCGGATCGCTACCCCAGATCGGCAGACGAACAGATAATCGTGCCGCTAAGAGGAGGCAAATGGCACACTACGGAGCGAGCGAAAGGGCACTACGCCTGGCACCAAAATCACCCCGTTTTTGCCCATTTTCGGTCATCCGTCAAAATATCTGAATGAAGATCTGACCGGGGGATTCTCCCTGAACTGTATCGTCGTCGTCGTCTCTAGCCAGTCGCTCTAACTCTCAGAGATGGGCTAAAGAGGATCCGGAGCGCGGTAAGACTCTGGGGCTCTCTCCGATGGGAGCGTAGCGTACGCGGAGGGAGCTCAGAGTTTCCCCAATCACCGGAGCGAGGGAAGGAGCGATCCCGGGGTGAGCGACTCCGTGGCGCAGCGCAGCGCGTGGAGGATCCCCAAATTGAGCACACGGATCTGTCCCCTCCTCTCTCCTCTCTCTCTCGGCCCTACTGCCTCCCCCGCCGCCCTACTCCTCGGGCACCCACGACGCATCGCTGTCGGAGTGATCCGAGGCCTCGTCGACAAAGGAGGACTCGTAGGCATCGTCCCGTCCTCATACGCATTCGGTGGGTTGTACCGCCTCGCGTGAGATGAAGCCGGGCCGTCGCCGTCTGACGATGCCGGCCGCGCGTCGGCGTTAATGACAACCTTCGCGACGCTGTCGTCTTTGCTCGCAAGCTGGCTCGCCTACAAAAAGTGGCTGCATGTGGCGTGCGGTTAGCGACGGTTTTCATGTTCAGCCCGCCGAAGATCGACGCGTACCGTCATGAAGTCTTTTACGTACGGATTGTGCTCGCAAATTGCCTTCCCGACGAACACGTCGAGTAGCTCGCGTACTCGCTCCTTTTCGCCCGCGGTCGCATTGGCCGGCAGGTAGATGCGACCCATACGCAAATCGAGGGCGGTCGTGTTCGCCAAATGCTGTTTACGGTGATCGTTCCGCGTCACAATTTTTGAACCAGTTTGAGCGCCCTTTCCAAGCCCGCATCGCCTAAGCACGGCCGACATCATCCTCCAAGGCCGTTCCATAGATGCTCTCATATTTGGCAGCGCGGTACACCTCGTTCAGGTTGTTCCATCCATGCAGGTCTTCTTTCAGCTTCAAGTCATCCGCCGTGACGCCGCTCGCGACGTTGGTACGGGCGAGGTCGAGGGTCTCTTGCATGGTTTTGAAGAGAGAAGTCGAAGTCGTGCGTCCCTCGAGCTGCAGATCCAGATCCCGGCCGGTCACTCTGGTGTACGTGTCCCGCTGATACGCAAGGTACTGTCGAGCTGTGGGGAAGTCGGAGATAGGGCCACGCTCCGCAGGTGGAGCACGACGCGTGCGACCGCATCCTCTTCCAGGTGCAGCTGACGCCGCACGGGGGCGATCCGCTCGACGCGGAGCCGGAGGCGGACCCTTCTGCAGAGGAGTAGTGGGCGGCGACGCCGACGGCATCCGCCCCCCCTATCCCCTGACCGCTACACCCTGCAGCTTTAAACGACGTCGGGTAAGAGGTGGGCGCCGTGCGTAGCCTCCAGCCAGAACCCCACGCTCGGAGTTGCGCATGGCGCTGAGACCTGAGTGTGTGCGGTGTCTGTCTCCACACGCTCACGCGCCACGGGCACAGCTCGCAAAGCGCGGGCAGTATTTCTGGGGTTTCGGCGAATAGAGCTAAAAGCTGAACCCAGCTGGCGCGCTTTGCCGATCTGGTTGTACGCTCGGGGCGGGTGCTCCCATGCCCGGCCGAACGAAGGCTGGCGCAGCCGCCTCCCGGCGCGGACACGCTTCGACGGCGCCGCAGGCTGCGCCGCTCGCGCTGCCGAAAAGATCGAGGCAGCGGCGGCGGACGGCAAGGCGGGCGTGGTGCAGACGTGGCTCGCCGGGGACGGGCGGGTTGATGCTACGTGCGTGCGTCGCGGTGTGAGTGGCTGTACGCTCCTGATGATCGCCGCCGCCCATGGTCACAAGCAGCTGGTCAAACTTCTGCTGAAGCTGGGCGCGAAGCCGGACGCGCAAGACAGCATCAACGTCACGGCGCTGATGTCCGCCGCCCACCAAGGCCACGTGCAGGTGGTCGAGACGCTTCTGCAGCACGGCGCGGAGATCAACCAGCACATCAGCGCCGGCAGCACCGCGCTGATGTACGCTGCCCACGACGGCTACGAGCAAGTGGTCGACTTGCTGCTGCGGCACGGGGCGGAGGTCGACCTGCAGGACATCGA